AATATTCAGTGAATAAATACAAGAAAAAGAATGCATGTATTTAAGAAAAGGAAATGCAAATTGTTGCACATAAGATTTTCCGTTAGGCAACAACAATCATACGATCATGCATGCTATCAGTGATCCCTGAGCCACATCCAGGAGTTACAATTTGTATCATCAGAAGCACATCTAAGTATCAAAGTGGACAAGCTGCTAGAGGCTTGAAATGCTCCACGATTCTTTCAGAATGTTAACTTTCAGCTGAGCACTGAATCTGGTTGCTGCATCTCAGCCTGAAAAGATTAGCGACTGGCATCTTATAATCAGATGGAGAGGAAGGAATTAGCTTATAACTTCTACACTGGGGAAGTAGATTATTCTATCTCAGGCTGCACCAAAATTTACTTTTCTGATGCCAGTTATTTATAGCTCCCCTCTCTTCATTTTAGGATTAGTTGTCTCTGCCCATTGTGGGAACCTTTTAAAGTTGAAAGATACATAACTTTAATAAGAAATCTCTCAGCACACAGATGGATACCAGAAATAAGCCATAATGAATAGGAGCAATGCTGGTAGTTGTATGCAGTCCACATCTAAGTTTGCCACTGCTGCCATAAAGGAAGGCAGTTACTGATTTCCTAGTGCTAATAGCAAACATGGAGTACTCTATTTAGTATTAAATTTATATGCCACCCATCTCCCACAGAGGGTAACCTGTATAATTACTGCTCTCCCTGCTAATCCACACATCTACCCGTAGAATTGAAATGCATTTAAAAAACCATCATACGTCTGGAATATGCAATCTATGGTAGCATGAAAGGGTAAGGAGGAGGTGATCTAAGTAAAAGCAAAAAAATTTAATACAGTAGTGGTTTCTTAGAGAAAAAGGATTGTGATGATCTTGTCCTAGTTCTGGTAGCTTTTTTCTCTGTTCCTTTAAAAACATGGGAGTTGCCAACATCTGCCACATATCTCTAGGTAATTCATGCACAGTACTATTGGTGATAGTTTACCATGATTTTTCTTTGCATCTGGTAAGCAGAAAGATACCATGCCTGAACATCTCATTCTGGTTCATATTCAGGTTATGATCCACCAAGATAATTGACATTTACTTTGAAATCAGGTTGCTTTGATGTTACGCTTGTATATTTTTTTAATGTACCTACATTCATATCTTTAGATGTATAGAGAGAGGACAGTACTAGGAAGCTTAGAGGAAGCAAAAGTTTGCAGAAGTACAGAAGGTTTATAGAGAAAAGCACATACTCAATAAAGTTGGTGTAAATTCTGGTTTACTAAAATAGAGATAGGGTAAGAACAGAAAGCTGAGAAGAATATCTTGGAAGAAGACTTAGTTGATTAGTTACAGAAGCAGTCCACATTGCAACTGTTTGTTGCACAATCATAAAATCTTCACTGCAGACACATGCTATTCTGCTTCCACATGTAGTTAGTATCTGCACATGCAATTCAAAGCACATATGCATAATTTTTTCTTCCACTTATATGTTAAAATTATAATTTTTATTTTTACAGTATTATTTATAGTTCTAAAAATGCAAAACCCAATTTTATACAGTCATATTACAAATAAGTAAGAATATCTCTGAGAATGTTTTAGTTGTCATATCTTCTAGAATATTCCACATTTTAATAAAAAAAATAATTTGCTTTATATGAACTATGTGCATTGAAATCCCTATTAGTATTCTGATGGGCCTGAGTTTGTGATTTGTGTATTTACTAGAGGGAGATAGCGAAATGTGATTAAAAGCTGTACCTGATAATTTTATCCTTTACAGACATTTGATCTAGCTTTAGCTAGAATTGCTAGAGCATGGGCAAATAAATGTGTTTGGAAACATAATCCTATTCAAAGGTACCATCCTGATCGTAAGTTTAAGCCAACTGGAGAAAATATGTGGTTGGGAAGTGCCAGCCGAAAGCCATTTAATCCTGAGGGTCCAATTAAATCATTTCACAATGAGATAAAATACTACACTTTCGCTACCCATAAGTGCACCAAAGTATGTGGACATTACACCCAGGTAAGATGCATTCTTTTGTGCTCAGGTAGTCCATTGTGACAGTAAATTATGAAATACTGGTTACAGCTGCTTAGTAAAGTTATTATATAAGATTACCTACTTACAAACATAGAATGGTTAAAGGCAACTAAGAAATTCAAAAAGAAGAAAATCTAATTTCAGCTCTAAATATTTGTTTGCTTGATTTGATGCCTCCCAACTCCACCCGACTCTGGGTGGCACACAATACCACGAAACAATATATAACAATATAATATAATATGGCTTTGGGTTTTGGGGCCCACTTTTGCTCAACTTTGTATTGTGTGCCAGTTGCACCCATTCCTAGATCGAGGGGCTCTACTCATGGTCACTCATATCCTAGTCACCTCCCATTTGGACTACTGTAATGTGCTGTACATGCGGCTGCCCTTGAAGAGTATCTGGAAGCTTCAGGTGGTACAGAATGCAGCAGCGTGGGCAGTTACAGTGCATTCGGAAAGTATTCAGACCCCCTTCACTTTTTTCAATTTTCTTATGTAGCAGCCTGATACTACAATCATTCAAATTCATTTTTTTTCTCATTAATCTACACTCAGTATC